GCCTGGGTCCATTTTCTCCCTCTTGGGGGCCCCCTGGATCCCACCGTGCGGGCGGGGTCTGCCGTGAGCAGCAGGGGAGGCTGAGCCTGGGACTGCCGCCAAGCCACCTGACCCGGCTCTTGAAGCCTCTGCCCTCCTGAGAAAGCTCTGGAAACACATGTGGCATTCATGTCCGGGTCAGGAGGAGGCGTGGGGCACAGTCTCACCCTCCAAACTGGACAGCCTCCCAGGAGGAGAGGCCGAGGGAGCCTCACCAGCACCATCTCACCAGGGCTGGGGGTTCCAGGTCCCGACCACCCGGCTCTGCCCCTGACCAGCTGTGTGACGTTAGGTGTGTGACCTCACCTCTCTGGGCCTCAATGTCTTCATCTGAGAAATGGGGGTGACAGCACACCAACCTCCTCAGGTGGTGGTGAGAACACCATGGGTTAAAGTGTGGAAAGCCTCGTAGAAGCCCAGTCACTATCAGCCATCTTTCCCTCTCTTCTCTTCCTCCTCCTCCTCCTCCGCGTCCTGTCACCCTATGAATCAGCATCCGCTGGACCTTCCGTGGCACAAATCTAATTGTGTCCCTCCGTAGACCGAGATCCTCTCTGGGTCCCCGAAGGCCAGGGTAGGGAGCTCAAACCTGTGCTCCCCACAGGAGCCAGGCAGGTAAACCGAGGATTCACCCTGTGAGGGTGCCAGGCGGGCAGGCCCAGCACTGCCAGGCCCCACTGTTCAGTGACACTTACCCTAGGCCAGTGGTTCTCAACCTTCTGGCCCTTTAAATACAGTTCCTCATGTTGTGACCCAACCATAAAATTATTTTCGTTGCTACTTCATAACTGTCATGTTGCTGCTGTTATGAATCGTCATGTAAGTATCTGATATGCAGGATGGTCTTAGGCGACCCCTGTGAAAGGGTCGTTCGACCGCCAAAGGGGTCGCGACCCACAGGTTGAGAACCGCTGCTCTAGGCAGTGATGCGGTCAGTCGTGATTTCTAAATGATGGCATCTAATTAAAAAATGAGAATAATCCCCACTCGGTGAGGAATTTATCTCTGAAGCCTTGATGAGGAGAAAATCCTGACCAATGCCTGTGCCCACAGCCCCTCACACTCCAGCCTCAGTTTACCACCCCGCCCTTCACCCAGTTCCTCTCCTGTTGGCTGCCTCACGTGCCTGCGCTGGGCTGGGGCTCCGCCCAGCCTCCTCTGTTGGCCCACATCCTTGCAGCCCTGCAGAGTCGACTCAAAGACTGTGCCTCCCGTGCCTTCTTCCCGGTGAATCCACCCGCCCACCGTCATCTTCTCCTTCGTTGGGTCTCTTGTTCTTTGCTCCTCTTTTAGCCTCTATCATGGGCCGTGGGTCAAAGTGCATTCTGTTCTCAGGTCCTGGATTCCAGCCCCCGAGGCCGGCTGAGTTCATCCAGCGGCCTCCTCCCCTGCCCCCCTGGGGACGGGCAGCAGGGTCCCTGTCTTCCCATCGCGGTCAAGGCAGTGATCCTGAATTCCACAGGCACTGAGCGGAGCGTGTGTGTTAGAAATTCAGCTTCCAAGCTCCACCCCTGCCCGCTCCTTACTGATTCAGGAGGTTGGGGGGGTCCCCAGGAAATCCCCATTTTTCAACAATCCTCTCTGGAGATTTCAGTGGGTCTAGGGCTGTCAACTAGGTCAGCATTTCTACCCACCTGCTAAGAATTCCTCTTTGTCCTGGGTGGGGCGAGCAGTTACTCCCTAGATCACCAAGGCGAGTCCCAGGGAACAGTGGGGGGTGGGGGTGGGGTCGGGGGAGCGGGGATGAAGTCCTGGGCACTTGGCACAAGTAAAGTAATTTCATTTCCCAGGAATCTGGAGAGGGGGTCTTGTCAACAGGTGAGGAAACCGAGGCTCAGAGGGATGAGTCAATGTCACATGGGTGGTGAGTGGCAGGTCTTGATTTATAACCAGGCCTCTGTAGCTGCCTGGCCCATGTGTCTTCCCCTGGGAAGGAGAGGACCAGGTGTGAATGGCAGTAAGAAGGAGGTGTCCAGTGGTGGAGCCAGGGCTGTGGGGCTGATGTGGGGTGGGGACAGCCGTGGAACTCTCCTACCCGTGGAGGGGGCAGGACTTGTTGCACACCCCGTGGGTGTGTGGTGACCTCTCAGATGCCACCTGGTGAGCAGGGTCTGGGCCCCTTTGATGTGCGGTTTTCTACCCAATAAAGGCTCCGCTGTGCCCTGGAGTGCTCTCCCTGCGGCTCCAGGGTAAACCGGTTGAGTCAGGCAATCACCCCTTCCAGTTGGAACCTGTTCTTGGGCACCGTGTGTGGCCAGACCAAGCCCATGGGGCATCAGGGAAAGGTGGGGGGACCGTGGGAACCATAGACTCAGGCTCAGCCCCAGGGGACTGATGTCCTGATCGGGAAGATGGCGCATGCCCCCAAGTTATGATCAAGCCACAATCTACCAGAAAGGAAAAATTAATGAGGCCAGGGGAGGGTTCTAGAAAGAGGTGCTTAGCATTGACTATCGATAAAGGAAGCAGGGGCATAGGCTGGTTGATGGCTTGAACCCATATTTACCGGATGGTTATCATGTACCAGGCCCTGTGCTGGGATGCAGTGACAGAGGTTAAAGAAACATGCGTGGCCCAGCCAGCGTGGCTCAGTGGTTGAGCCTTGATCTATGAACCAGGAGGTCATGGTTCTACTCCCAGTCAGGGCACATGCCCGGGTTGTGGGCTCGATCCCCTGTAGGGGGCATGCAGGAGGCAGCCGATCAGTGATTCTCATCACTGATGTTCCTATCTCGGTCTCCCTCTCCCTTCCTCTCTGAAACCAATAAAAAGCAGTATCTATATATAAAAAGGAACACGGGTGGTCCCAGTGCCCATGGAGACTGCCTGATTTGGGGGCCGGGGGGGCGAGGGGGTGGGGAGAGAAGATGCTGGGTGAGGTGGTGAAGTGTGACGATGCTCCTGCTGGCTCGGCGCTTCCTGGGACCTTCCCTAGTTCGAGGGCAGAAGTGACACCTGTGACACAGCTGAGCACAGAGGAGCGTTCATTAAAGGAGGCTTCCCGCTGTCCGCCCTCCGGTGCAGCTCTGAGAACACAGCCACCGAGATTGTGTTAAAATGCAGGTTTTATTGTTATTCAAGTTCGGTGAGGCCACCACATCAGGAGATGAGTGCTCTTGAAAAGATAGTGTCTTACTCGCAGTTCCCATGAGGAGTTCCCCCTTTTCCAACAGGCCATGCCAGACAGGGCCACACTGGGAAGCACCAGGGCCATAGGGATGCAGAGGGGGAAGGGGAAAGCGTAAAAGCCTTTATTGTGGTTTTCCTGGGATGGAGCGAACAGGGCAGGGTTAGCAGGGTTAGGATTCACTCGCTTGAGTCATTTCAGGGGCCTCCGGGCTGCCTGTAGTGGTTCCATGCCTGGTCAGGGGGTGATAAGGGCAGGGAATGTTGGCCCTGGTGAGTAAGAGCCGTGTGAGAACCTGAGAAAGGTGGTGGTTGGGGTAAAGGCTTTGGATTGGTTCATCTGCATGTGAAAGGTATCCTAGGTGAGTCATTGGCTATCTAGAAACTAGCTAACCTGGGCGGGAAGTCCCTCCCCATTTAAGGTTAGCAGGCCTGGATGTCAGAGCATAACAGTGCAATCTATACTAACAAAAGGGTAATATGCTAATTAGACCAGGTCGATCGGCCATGTTCCAGACATCTGACTTCCTTCCAGACAAAGCCATGGTGGTGGGGGCTGAGGCAGTTAAGGGAGATCAGTCTGGCAGGGAAGAGCAGTTAGGGGCAAGATCAGGCTGGCAGGAGGTTAGGGCTTTTAGGCTGGCAGGGGAGGGCAATTGGGGGCAACCAGGCCAGCAGGGGAGGGCAGTTGGGGGCAACCAGGCCAGCAGTAGAGGGCAGTTGGGGGTGACCAGGCTGGCAGGGGAGGGCAGTTGGGGGCATTAAGCAGGCAGGCAGGTGAGTAGTTAGGAGCCAGTGGTCCTGGATTGTAAGAGGAATGTCTGACTGCTACAGGGATCGGGCCTAAACCGGCAGTTGGACATCCCCCAAGGAGTCCCAATTGAAGAGGGTGCAGGCTGGGCTGAGGGACACTCCCCTCTCCCCCCCATGCACAAATTTCATG